TGAATCAAACTGAAACTCAGACAGATAAACCAGAATATCTGAAAGGAGAACCTTCAGGAACAAGACAAAGTCATGCAGTGTTTCTGTGATGTGCTTAGCTCCAACAGTTCTACAGGACGTGAAGCCAGAGGCAAAGGTAATGCAGGAGGAGATTTTTGGACCTCTACTTCCTATCTTACCAGTCAGCAGCCTGGATGAAGCCATCAAGCTGATCAATAAGGGAGAGAAACCTCTGGCTCTCTATGTGTTCTCACCAGATAACAAGGTATCTACCAGCAGCCAACACAGCAAAGCAGTTAACACGTGGAAACCAGTGTTTAGGTCGAGACTTATTGTCAGGGTTTTTGTTTTCTCTTCTCTGTAAAGGTGATAGAGAGAATGAGAGATGAGACTTCGAGTGGAGGATTCCTGGCCAACGACTGCCTCGTGCACTATTCTGTCAGCGCGTTGCCATTTGGAGGAGTGGGTAAGTAGAGAAACTGTGCAAATGGAGCCTTTTTTTTAACCCCTTAGTGACTTTACTGTCTGTATTACTGGTTTATTGTGTTGATTAAAAGTGGTCAAACCTGATGCCAACATCTGTGTATGTTCCATGTGCAGGAAACAGTGGAATAGGCTGCTACCACGGCAAGTTCAGCTTTGACCGACTGAGCCACCTGCGTGGTTGTCTGGTCAAAAAGCTGAAAATGGAGGGGGTGAACGACATGCGCTACCCGCCGCACACATTGAAGAAACTGGGCTGGGCGCGCTTCTTCATCCTCAATACCGTAGATGTGGGCTGGGTGGGACGGATGGCGCTCCTAGCTGCTCTGGTTATGGTGGCTGCTGTTGTGATTCAGGTGAGTTGAAAAGAAAGAAAGGAATAACTGACACGGGCAGTATCAGTGGACGAGCTTCCCAGCTAGCTGCAATGTTCTAAGAGGAGCAGAGAAACCTAAACCTTTCTGTAGTTGAACACATCCTTTGAGTGTCACACAGTGCACATGTGCATTACTGAGTGGGACAAAAAAGAGCGATCGCATTACTCCAGTGTTGGCAGACTTGCACCTGCTCTCTGCGCATCACAGAATCCAGCATGAAGTGCGCTATTGTATTTAAAGCTTTAAATGGCCTTGCACCTGCGTTTGCGGTAGAGACTTATGCTGTATCCATACTCTCTCTCAACATCATTAACCCTGTAAATCCTGAACTATGCAATGACTGCCGGACGATTGTAATTTTTTTGAAACTGTTTTTTTTTTTTTCACAGTTTCAAAAAAAGTTTTTGGAAAAAAAGTGTTTATTGAACCTTCTGACAATTAAAAAAAAAGCAAACATTAATTTCCATATATGAGTTTTAATTTGTAATATTTGTCTCGCAGTAGCACTCCATGTGTCTGATTGCATACATCAGATTTTTCAGCCTTACAGGGTTAAGGTCTACTTCCTAATCACTCTAGAGTCCAGACCATCGCAGAGTCAAAGCTAATTTGCTTGCACCAAGACGCTGGAATGATCATCCAAGTGACTTCACAAATGCGTCACCTACCTCTGTCTTTAACTCTTAGCTAAAGACATCATGCTTTTTGTAATTTTATGTAATTAATGTAAATGCGTGAATTTGTATCTTTTATTTTTGTTTCTTATTGTAAATCACTTTTCTAAACATGCTACAGTATAGAAATATAAAGCATTTCCAGTCATGCTGCACAATGGGAGCTGAACCATCCAAGTGCCACCAAGTCCCCCGTCCACAAGTATTTTTTTAAGCTCAACTTTGGTCTTTCCATCTACATTCAAAGGCCTAATGAAAAGCTCCTTCTGGGTGAAGACAGATTTAGGGTTAAGGGTTACATAACCACCAGCTGGCTTGTCATACTATAGGCATGCCCAGTTTTGTTTCAGTGCTTTCAAGCAGATTTAATTTATTCAGGTTTTGAGCTGTTTAGTGCTCGGTCCTGTGGAAGTGGTGGCGGTTCAGCCTTTTTTTCCTCCAAAAGTTCAAAGATTAATCAGTGATTCTGAGGCAGATTTGATGATAAATGGTCGTCTGTGATCGATTGGCAAGCTGTCCATATACAGGCAGCGAATCCACGACGCACATGAAAACAGAGTTGAATGATCCAAAACTACACATGCCAATAAACAGAACAACGCAACAATGACAAAACTTTCTTGTATCTGAAAAAAAAAACATTCCCAACTCACTCATTAACAGCTACACAGTTGTAAGTAAACAACCCGGGGCTCTTTGGTTCAGTAAACAATGCTATCCAGTGAATGTGGCAGATACAGCCTGGCACACACACAGATCTGGATGTGGAAAGGGTCAAATGGCAACAAAGATGCAGAATGTTTTTCTTTCTTCTTCTTCTTCTTTTTTTGGTTCACAATGCAAATACTTCACAGTATTTCTGTATTTTTTTTATTCAGTATTCACATATATAAATGTTAAATGTGTGACATTTATTTTTTTTGCACTGTGGCATTTTTCTGTTCTGCTCTGTATACTCCTTTTTACGGTGGCCCTGAGAGGCCAAATGGACTGCAACTTAAGAAAACATCAGCAATAAGAAAAACGCTGCAAAAGCACACAAAACACAACGGAAATAGGAAAAACGACAACGGAAATAAGAAAAACAACAACGGAAATAGGAGCAAACAAAACACAAATAGGAAAAAACTAATTTCCACAAGCACAAAGGAAGTGTTTGTGGGGAGACAATAACCCGACGGACCAGTTGCAGGAACCAAATTATGCTAAGAATTGCGCTGGGAGACACTTAAAATAAGTGGAGGATCTATCAGTTTTGTGAGGAAAGAAAAGATGAGAGGTAAGTGTGTTAGCCTAACTATTGGCCTAAAAATCCGTCATGAGTATTATATGAATCATGATAAAACACGCCTACCATGTTTTGGGTTCCTGCAACTGGTCCGTCGGGTTATTGTCTCCCCAGAAACACTTCCCTTGTGCTTTAGAAAATCTGTTTTTTCCTATTTCTGTTTCTGTTTTTCCTTCATTGTGTTTTGTGTGCTTTTGCAGCGTTTTTCTTATTGCTAGTGTTTTCTTAAGTTGCAGTCCGTTTGGCCTCTCAGGGCCACCGTACCTTTTGCCCTCTACAGTCTGCAGACTAGTTTTTACCCAACCTTCCTACTGAGTAACAACAAAGGATTCAAATAGAAATAGAAGCACTATTTCAAATAGAAATATTGTTAAAACACTTGCTTACAGCTGCGTCACAGCTTACCTCTGAGACACCCATCAGTCATTTTAAAAGCATTATGAATGCAGAGCAAATGTTTAGAAAAACCTCCAGCTGAGTCTTCTGTTTGTGTCTTTTGTTTTACAGAAGTACCTCCTCTGAAGCCGTTCTGCTGTTTCCTTTATCGTCTGGGCCGCAGAAGAGGAACAAGGAGGATTCATTTGTTTATGCATGAACAAGATAGCAATGTTGTGTTGTTTCAGGATTGCCGTTTTCCATTTCACATTTCAGTGAAGTTTCATGGAGCTCACTGAGAGCCGTTTATTTTAATGAAGATAATTATTTATTCTCATCTATGCAAGAATCACTACGTTCCATTAATTCATCACCACATTTTTAATACTTTTTTTTTAAAATATGAATGATTTAGTTGTTTTTTTTTAATGAAGTAATAGTGTAAGTGTAGAGGTATTGCATGATTCAAAGTATGTTGTCCATTTATTCTACCTTGCATTTAAAAAACAAAACATGTTTACATGAAGGGCCATAAGATGAAGTTCATGTTAATAATGAAAAATGATTTTTTTCATCATTATTATTATTATTATGTAGGAGCTACCTACAGGGTATTTTTAGCTTGTTGTTTCAGTAATGGATCCGCCATTAATCTGACAATCAGCCCGAATGCACTTGATTTCAGCCCAGAGTAGTTTCAGGCTGTGTTTGGCAGGCATGAAGACAATCTGTCCAGTGAGATTTCAGTGTTTGTTTTCAGCTCATCCGAATCACGCAGGTTCATGTGAAGGAAGTTTTTAATGATTTTTTTTATGACCAAATGTAAAACATTTAAGTGACCAAGTGTAGTTGTTTCTAAATATTTGCCTATATCGCACCATTTAAATTTATAAACAACAATTAAAGAAATATATATGCATTTCTATTTTAATATTCAACTAAATAAATTGCTACATGTATCAGTTTGAAATTTAAGTTATTTTTATTCTGTATTTTACAAGCGTATGTTGCATAATACAGAGTTGATATTCATCAGCTCTCCTCTGTGAGTTAGAAATAGATTCACAGTTCAGACTCATACGTTGTTAAATTAACTGTTAAAGGTCATGAAAAACATTTTTACATAAGTGGGTCAAGAACTTATGAAGAGTGTTGCTTAAAGTCAAATTTCAATGACTTTGGATTTTATCATCTGCAGTGATAAAATCTCCATGAATGGTAACATTTAAAAGATTCAGAAATTCAGAGTTCAGTTCTCGTGATCTTTGGGACCAGAAACCACACCCAACCTTCGCTGGTGCACAAAAGCTTGTTCTGACACAGAAAACTGGAAACCTCTTCTGATGTTAATGATGCTGCACTGCTAACTTCCATAGACACTAACACTAACCGGACACTTTATTAAGTACACTCTACTATGTGGAAGATGGAAGACAAGCACGCAATTTAGGAAAAATGCTGCCAATTTTAAATAAAATAAAATAGCAAAGCAAAAGCTCCAGGCTTAATTTTAAAGTTTTTTCAAATAAACACATCCACTTTATTATGTGCACTAATGTATTATAGAAAATGGAAATCAGATGTAAATAATGACATTTTGTCTGGTGAGTTAAAATACTTTCTTGTTCCTCCTGGTTTTTCTGCTGTATCAAGTCAAAAATAAAAAACAAGGAACAGCTGAAATCATTTTGTACATTTTGCCACCAGGTGTCTTCCTCTCTCGTTTTACACAACTTAAAATTAGGAACGTTTGCACCAAGACCCCCCCTCCTGTTTAGAATAACTTCCACACACACACACAAACACACAATAATCACCTCCCTCCCACCTTCAAAGGTGGCTGAGTTGGTGTGTGAAGACAGCTGAAATTTAGTCTATGAGGAGCTTCGCCTGACTTCATCATGGGTTTTTCTCTCTACCTCCTGACTCTGCATCTTCTCCTTTCCCGCTGCACAGGTAGGAGACTCACACATAATATACACAGTATAACTGCATTTAAGCTAAATGCAGGAACTATGATGGGCTTCAGTTTTCTGCGCCTATTTTTTTAGTTTGAACTTGTTCTTGTTTAAGTCAAAAGGGTGGATATGACGATAAAACATCTGCAGCCACACTTGATTAAACATGCTGTAATTTGTGGGAAGACAAGTGCCATGAGATTATTAAGAATCAAAGCAGCAACACAACTATCTACAACATATTTTGAATTTTCTTGCTACTTCTTCATGAATGTTTAAATATTAACTGGAAAGATCACGAGCTGAACTGCAAACAGCAATGATTTTTATTACTAATTAATAGGCTCATTAGTTTTTCTATATGATTAAATGACAAAGCCCTGCAAATCATAGTGGAAAAAAGTGGATTAGAGGTAACATCAGATGTCTTTTTCTGTTGAAACAAAGTCCAAGACTCAAAAACAGTTCGTCTAGATCATGAAAGCAGTGGAAAAGCAACCAATTCTCCCATTTGGGGATGTGCAAATCTCACATCTGTGAGTTTTTCATTTTCCTAAAGTTTACGTAAAAAATTAATTGATTTTGAAAGTTTGCCGGGGAGCAGGTGTTTTGGCTTGCAGTTCACAAGAGTCACAAGAATGGAGCCATAAAAGTCAACAAACCAGTGTCTGCTTTGCAGCAATATCTTTCTCCAGTTTCAGAACACCTGCCACAAAAAACTCATCGCTACCAACCAGAACAAGTTGCAGAAGAGCCTCTAAGTGTCCTGAGCTACAATCCCATGAAAAGAACATTTCCACAGGTCCTAAGAACAACATTTTAATTTAAAGCAACCGTTTTCTTTATAATTTTATCAGTCTCTCACATCACTGTGGAGGAACTTTGGGCCGTTCTTATAGCTTGAACTGAACATAGCTTCAGGTTTGTGGTCCTGCTGCATCTTTTCAATCAGTTCCTGTCGACGAATTCACTACAAGGTGCCAAATTTCTGTGGCTCCAAATCAATCACTTATCATCACCACCTCGCCTGAAGCTGGTATTAGGTGTTTCTGTTTCTGCCAAACATGGCCAAATATCTCCACTGTGGTCTCCTCTGTCTAAAGGACATTGCTCCAGATGTCTTGTGGTTTCTGGTTACTGTAATGAACTTTAACATTTAGCCGAGGCCTGGAGTCTGAGATGTAGTGCTTGGATGTTTTTGCAGTTTCTGAGCGCTGCACAGTCTGGGACTTCCACTCCTGGAAAGATTGTGACATCGTGTTAACAAACACCCGAGTGCTCCAGATCAGCAAACTGCCAAAACATCTGCTTTTACACAGGCGCTCACTCTATATTAAGTGCAACTGATCAGCAGCACCTGCTGTTACTTACCTTCTTAATTTCTGTCAATGCAGTAAGAGTTTAATTATTTTCTCACAGGGATTCACGTTGTCATGTGTAAGCTCCAAGTTTAGGCTGCATGGAGCCACTCTGAAAGCTCAGATGGTGAACTGTAGAAGATATTGTCAGTGTAAGGAAAGTAAAACTGGGAATTTAGCGAGGTAATCACTGCACAGACTTCACTCTGACTTTTCCCCGCTGCTCAGTCTCACACAGGTGAATGAACCAGGTGGTGTAAAGCCAGCCTCCAGCTGTGTATTGTTCTCAGTTGGTGAGAACCACTGTCCCCTTTTCAAAGGACGGCATTGTGGGAGTCAGCAGGGCTAATCTGTGTTCCTATATTAGCTAAATGGTTCTCTATAGCGGCTTTCATTCCCACTGCAGAGTCAAACACCGGACTTTCATTCACATCAGAAACACAATACACAACCACGGCACAACTCTAATAACGTCATCAGCACCTGCTGAATGAACACGCTTAATGCAGCGGTGCAGAGGCAGTTAAGGAGTCGGATAAAGCCACTTTGCACTGAAAGCAATCAGTGTAATAACAACCAGCTGACCTGGGTGATTAAAATCCGCCTGCATCTCTTCCACTCACTGTCACACACAGACACATTTTCCAACATTTAAACTGAGTAAAACATGTTTGAAAACTAAATGTAAGCTGCTAATTTATTTTATTGTAAGACCTTCGGTCAATATATTTTTATACTACTCTCTTGTTCTGGCACAGCTTTTGTTGTTCTTGTAAACAAAGGAAGTAAGTGTGGGGGTCTGTGAATTTGACTGAACACATTTTTGGATGTCTTTTTCACTTTTTGCAGAGGTGGGTTTTGTGCAACTTTTTCAAAGTGCACTGAGCTCAGCAGTCAGACTAAATTTGCAGGGAGGCAGGGTGATTCATTGTAATAAATCAATAAATCGTAAGGATCAGTCATTTGTAATCACACATCATTCTGTCTGTGCTTTATCAGATAACATATTAATGGACACAGCATATTTTTAACACACTGAGCACATGTGTCATGTGAAGACTAATAATATGTCAGCTGCAAAGTTCAGGTGCAGAGGACAAACACATGAGCAGATCAGCTAGTTGCTGACTAAGAAAAAAATAAACGCTGTGTCTAATAGAGCGTGAACTTAATTAATATTCATTTATTAACTGCAGGGAGACTGTTGGCCTGGCACAGCGCAGCACCATCCCGAACATAAATATAAGCGCTGTGTACACTGCAGGTTATGTGTGTCTGTTTGTGTGTGTTCCTGGGTCTAATCTCAGTGTTTTACTTTTTCTCCAGCTAACTGGTGTTATCAAAACCAGAATGCCTGTGATGACCCATGCAGAGGTAAGACTAGAAAGAAAGGAACCTACAAAATTTTAGAGGAAAATCCAAAAAGTGTCAAAGATCCTGCAAGTCAAGGATGTAAACCACTGCAATATGAACAATTCTTTAACCATTTATTTTATTATTGGGCTTAACCACAGAGGTTCTCACTGGCCTCCAAAAATCTGTTTGGTTAAACGTCATCAGTTTCAGAATAAAGTTATTGCATTTAACTTAAACTAAAACTAGATGTGGAAAATATAAAAACTAAATGGACTGATTCATATAGAGCACTTTTTTACTCTCTCAGAGTACTCCAAGCGCTCTATACAACATGCCACATACACTTTCTCTAAACATAGTGCTGTCTAACCACATTCATATTCCGATGGATGCATCGGAGAGCAACTTGGAGTTAGTATCTTGCCCAAGGATATTTGGCATGGAGGAGCCAGGGATTGAACCACCAACCTTCTGATCAGTAGGTGATCTACCTGCTCTACCTCCTGAGCTACAGCCACCAGGTGAAACACTGGACTTTTGAAAAATGAAAAAGATTTTCTGAACTTGGAAAACAATAGTTAAATGAATCAAGAATGACTCAGAGATCAAACCTTCACCAATGCAGCTCACTTTCTGAGCAGTATTTACTTTTAAAGGAATAGTCATTTATTTTATATATAAACATTTTATTTTCTTTGTACTTTAAGACATTTGTAGTGCAAAAACAGGTGGAGGTCCTGTTATTTGTCCTGTTGAAACCCATTTTAATATATTTGACATAATTCTGAGTATAGTTAATTTGTTTATTTATGTGGCTATAATACACATGTGGCATTCATTCAAGTTTTGAAACACAAATTTATGTTATCTTCCAAATAAAATATTACTTATTCAGAAACATTGCACATGTATTAAAATTGTTTTAACTGTAATAACCTGTTAGTGTACTATACACAAAATCACAAACTACACTCAAAGCGTATCCCATGCCAAAAAGTTATTGTCATAGTTTCTAAGTTAGGAGTTATTTTGTTAGTTTTCCACCAACAAATCATTGAAGGTGTTTATTATTAAGGGGAAAAAATCCAAACCTATGTGAAAAATCGATTGCCCCCTAAGCCTAATAAGTGGTTGGAAGAACCTGAGCAGCAGCAGCTGCAGTCAAGAGTTTGCAATAACTGGCAATGAGTCTTTTACAGCACTGTGGAGGAATTTTGACCCACTCATCTTTGCAGAATTGCTGTAATTCAGCCACATTGGAGGGTTTTCGGACATAAACCACCTTTTTAAGGTCGTACCACAGCATCTCAGTTGGATTCAGGTCAGAACTTTGACTAGGCCACTCTAAAGTCTTCCATTTGTTTTTCTTAAGCCATTCAGAGGTGGACTTGCTTTTGTGTTTTGGATCATTGTCCTGCTGCAGAACCCAAGTGTGCTTCAGCTTGAGGTCATGGACAGATGGCCAGACATTCTCCTTCATGATTTGATAGACAGCAGAATTCATGGTTCCATTTACCACAGCAAGTCTTCCAGGTCCTGAGGCAGCAAAACAGCCCCAGACCATTACACTACCATCATATTTTACTGTTGGTATGATGTTCCTTTTCTGAAATGCTGTGTTACTTCTACGTCAAAAGTACTGGGATACACACGTTCCAAAAAGTTCAACTTTTGTCTCGTCAGTCCACATTTTCCCAAATGTCAAGGGGATCGAAAAAATGTTGTTTACCCAATGTGAGACGAGGTTTTGTGTTCTTCATGGTCAGCAGTGGTCTTCTCGAACTCTCCCGTGGATTCCATTTCTGCCCAGTCTCTTTCTTAGTGTTGAATCATGAACTCTGACCTTAACTGAGGCAGTGAAGCCTGCAGTCCTTTAAAGTTTTCTGGGCTCTTTTGTGCCCTCTTGGAGTAATTTTGGTCAGCTGGCCATTCGTGGGAAGGTTCACCATTGTTCCAAGTCTTCTCCTCTTGTGTATAATGACTCTTCATCAGAGTCCCAAAATCTTAGAAATGGCCTTTTAACCCTTGATAGATGTCAGTGACTTTGTTTCTCAGGTGTTTCTTTAGATCGTGACATGATGTGTTGCTTTTTAAGATCTTTTACATGTGGTTTATCACATTTAATTTGTGATTTAACAAGAGGGGCAATTACTTTTTCACACAGGACCAGGTAGGTTTAGGTTAGTTCACCCTTTCTCCCTCAATCAATAAAATCATAATCTAAAAAGTGCATTTTGTATTTACTCACGTTATCTTTGTCTAATATTAAAATTTCTTTGATCATCTGAAACATGTAAGTATGACAAATATCCAAAACACTAGGAAATAATAAAGGGGGCAAACACTTTTTTAAAACACTTTTCCTTAAATATAATAACATTTTAAAAAAAGACTAAAACTAAAAACTGAAACTATTAACAAACTAAACTAAAACTAAACATCTTCAGACAAACTGAAACAAGGATACCCACATTGGAGACCAGCTAAAACTAAACTGCAAAATAAAAAGTAAAAAATTAAATAAAAATACAAAATTATAATAAAATTGCTACCAGTGTCCTGAAAGTGTCAAAAAAAATAATACACTATCAGATCACTATCAAAAACCAAATTAATATAGTAATATATTAAGTAATATAGTTGAAGACTAAAAACATGAAGGTGCCCATGAGAATCTTAATGCATCAGTTTGATGGTAATTCAAACAGTCAATTTCATCTTAAAGTTTCTTAATGTAACGAGAGATCTAAACCAAGATAATAAAAAAAACAAGATTCAGCTGTTAGTAAGTGCCACAGGACACAGGTGCAGTTTCTTGTGTTTGTGAGAAGCAAACCCAAAGTAGCAAAATGAAAGCAGAAGAAAGTGATGTTCATTCTCATTGAGATCTACAGCACCAGCAAATATTCGTCATTCATGAGGTGAATTGGCTGAGCACTATTCATTTTGTTGTTGCTTTATAAATTGAGTCTGACCTGCAGGCCTTTGCTGTGTGTCCTCTCCTGCCCCCTTCCTGTCTACTCTTGGCTGTTCAGCTGATGAACAAAGGCAAAAAAGCCCCAAAATAAGTCTTTAAAAAATACAATATGTAAGCGTTTACGTAAATAGGCAGGCATCCTGTCTTTTCAGCCAGCATGGGTGGGGGAGGCAATCTTCATGGACTCTCTGAGAGGCAGCACTCTGTATGGTCAGTGAAGCCTAAAATCTGATGATGCTGTTGCTTTTCCTGTTTGTGTCGCTTAGACCCCAACCACTGGGCTACTCAATTCCCAAAATGTGGAGGGTTACGCCAGTCACCGATTAACATCGTGACCAGCAAAGTCCACATCGACATCGCCCTGTCACCTTTCAACTTCATTGGCCACACCGACACAATCAACATGACAGTGGAAAACAAAGGGCACTCTGGTAATGAAGAGCCGATCTTATCCAGTCTGGCACACAGAGCGTGTTTTTTCCCTTAACGACCAAATACTTTCAACATCTTTACATAAAAATAACTGTTAAAGTAACATAATACCTTTGCTCAGTGACAATCTCTCGCCCCTGCAGCCCACTTTGTTTTGCCGGCGTCTGTTCGATTCATTGGGGGAGCTCTGCCAGGTCACTACAGAGCCGCCCAATTTCACCTCCACTGGGGAGGGAATGGGAGACCAGGATCAGAGCACACCATTGACGGAGAGAGATTCCCCATGGAGGTAAAGGAGTCATCATTAAAGTTATAAAAGATTTGAGTAGAGGTCAATAATTTTGTTGGCACATGGATTTGGTTTTCTGACATCAAAAATGTTCAAGCATGGCAGTTATGTTAGTGTGAAAAATTTCATGTTTTATTGCCTTATTATTCCCTTTTATTTACCTTAAATCTGCTCAGTAAGGCTAACAGATACACCACAATGACACAGGAGGGTCATTAATAACATTTTATTAATATTGTTATATCCATTGTTGAAAAAATTATGTGACTGATCTGATCTCTGAAAGCAGAAAGGGCCCTTGATGCAGTACAGTACTCTTTTCTTTATACAGATGCACATAGTCCACATTAAGGAGCCGTACAGCTCTCTGGCGGAGGCCGAACATGACACAGCAGGTATAGCTCTGCTCGCCTTCCTGTTTGAGGTAATACACTGTGATGTTTTCACCTTCTTCATAAAATGTTAAGACGTGACTTGCGGCATAGTATTGATGGTATCTTTCTAGGAAACAGCGGATGATCATCCTCATTTGGACACAGTAATAGATGCGCTGGGCCGCGTACAAAACAACGGTATGTATGCTGTTAATTTGCAGCTCTTTGGTTGGAAGAAACTGATTTCTGTGGATAGGTGTGCTTTATACATATAACCAGTTGAGGAGTATCTGCAATTAATCGATTGATTGTAATCTATCTTCCCATCTGTGATTTGCAGGAGATCAAATACTTAAATTCAATAAGTCAGTTTATTGCTTTCATGTAATAATTTTTTTCAGGATTTTTGGTGGATAATCTGTTTCTCTCCATTAAAATAAAGTGAGGAGTTGATCCAGATTGGGATCAAATAATTGTTTCCCACATCAGGGCACAATAAGCTTTATTCAGTCCTGACTTTGCTTCTTTCTTTGTCACATGAAGGCAGCACCACAGTGATCCCAAACTTTAGACTCTGTGACATTATCCCAGCTGCAAAGGACCTACAAGGTTACTACCGCTACGTGGGCTCCATGACAACGCCGGGATGTGAGCAGGCAGTTGCCTGGACAGTGTTTCACAGGAAGCTGGCCATCAGTAGTCGACAGGTAAGCAAGAATAAATAAGTGAAAGAGATAAAAGGCTCACAGTAGAGAAACTAGTGCTTTTGGTTGCATTTCATCCATAAACCTGTGAACCTCCAAACGGACATTTCTTTACTCTTTCACAATGTAAACAAAAACAGCATATTTGAAGAAGTTATGGAGATGTGATATTAAATTGCAAAATAAAACTAGTAAAACTACAAAAGTAGAAAACGCCTGGGGGAAGAAAAAAACTTTTCAGAAACACTTTGCATTTAAGAGGTCAAGACCTACAACAACTTTCCTTCTTTAAACAACTCTTCATCTCCTCAAACACATTTTTTCCCTCTCCACTTCACAGCTGGATGCGATAGTTAAGCAGTGTCGCTTTTGGACAGGGCATCCCATGACTGACATTTTCCGACCTACGCAGCCGCTGGATGGCAGGATTGTGTACTCCTCAAAGTCGGGTACAGCTCAGACAACTGCGACACATTTTTGGTGTCTGTTTTTATCATTTGTGACTGTTACGCTGGGTCTGGCACACTGAATGCGCAGCAAGAAATGGGCATAGTCTTCAAGTCTGAACAGCGAAGCCAACGCACAAAGTCTTAAATCTGCATTTTTTCTTATGGCCAGCAGGGAGTGACTTCTCAAAGTCTGATTGTATATATACAGTTCTGTGAAAAAGTATTTGCCCTTTATAACCCCTTCCTTGGGTTATAACTTCAGTAAACATTTTCTTGATGAATCTTAGTCACATGATAAAGCATGATGTATCGTTAGTAAGTAATGGTCCCTTTTTGAGTTCAGCAGAAGTACATAGAGCTAGATACACACAGCTCAGCCTTCCTCTGCAGATCAGAGGGTATGCAAAAATTAGAGATGCAAAGAAATGTTTTTATTAAAAATGCCACTGCTACCCTTAAAAGGGGCAGTTGTTTTGCGTTAACTATTGGTAATGTATTCATACTTAATCATTTTTTAAGATGATCCATTTTTCCTGACAAATTACCATCAATTAAAGTTGATCACATCAGCAGCAATGCCCACATTTAGGTACATGACTGCCAGGCAGTGTCTCGTACAACCCTATTAGATAGTTTTCTCCTAGCACCACCATCAGCAGTGTCAAACTTATTTCCTTAGAGATTATTAAAGTGTTCTGATTCTGAAGATACTGGATTGTTTGTCCTTAAATCTGTACAGATTCACATATTGTACTGAGCAGAATGATAACAACAGCCTTTAGAGGAACTGGTCTCAGTCACCAAACTAATTCGGTAGTGGTGTGAAAATGATTCAGGCAAGTTTTGACTAAAATGTGAGTGCACTCGGCTCCTGTAGCCTGATGTCGCAGCTATGGTGGAGCATGCAAAGAATGGCAGCTTCCACAGTAATACTAGTTAAAACAGCTAACTGGGCGTGTTTCATAAATGCAAACATATGTGCTATTTAAGAAGACCTTCTTCCTATATTTACTTTCTTCCTCCCCACCATAGACATATCTGAGCTACATGAACGTTTTCTGGTGATTTGAAGGGATGCATGATGATTCTTTGGGATTTTTCTCTTTGTGGAAAGAAGCTGAAAGAAAGAAAAACAAACCGATCAACTGATTCAGACCAGACCAATTTAAAACGTTGAAACCATAAAGCAGCACCATCTTCATCTCAAACAGAAATTTGTATGATGATCAAATTTAATTAGCACATGCCGACTTCAGCTGAAGCCGCTAACATGGCAGTAGATTTGAATTTGAAAGTATTACTGACTTCAATTATGTCAGTATTTCTGACCTAGGAAACTGAAAACCAACATAGTATGTGTGTGAGCTTTAGTACCCTGCAGCACTTGGGGCTTTAGGGGGGAGGTCAGTTTTTAATATTCATGTTTTACTGCTTTATATTAACGCTTATTTTCTCCTAGATGTTTTTGTGGACAAAAGTAATAAACCGATATATAGAATTAGAGGTTTAACATATTTTTCTTTCTTTTTCAAAACATGAGAGATTCTTTAAATAATAACCTTTATTCTACTATTTTTGTCGTTGCTTTTCATGTATATATTTGTATCTTTGTTGTTTAGAGAGTTTAACAAAGCATTTGGTAATTAAGGCATCTCATAAATGTACCTGTGCATGTTTTAATTAAGATCTAAACTCCAGTAATCCTCCAGCAATCCAATGAGCAGTATGTAGAGTGGTCGCCCCATGATAGGAAGGTCGGGGGTTCGAATACACTGAACAGCTACCCTGAGGTACCACTTAGCGAGGCACTCTCCCTACACACTGATCCCCGGTGCGCCTGCCCTCTGCTTCCCTGAGTGAATGGGTCAAATGCAGAGATAGTAATTTCCCCACGGGGATCAATGAAGTATACATTAATATTAATCCTCTGCCAGAGTAATAACTTGTTCTTGACTTCTTATGATGTGCAAAATCCAAACCCAAAACTTCAATCAGTAAACTAACAGCTGACGTCAGTGGATTTATCTGAACCCTTACTGTGAGACTGATTTTATATTGAGTATTCACCAATTTGGATTTCTACAGATTCAATTAGATCAGTTTAAAATGAATGAAACTGACTGTTTTAAGCACCATGGAAATAAATCTGCCTTGCAGTTCATTCTGCCCCGGTCAGTTGTGTTTATCATAGCCGACTGTTGGTAACTTTGTTCATATACAACAGGAAACCATGCTTGCATTACATGACTTCACTGGTAAACGGCCACACTGGAGCATTTAAATAAACAGGCACCTCAGAGTTTCTCTCAATTGTCAGCGCAGGTGTGAATCCTGCATAAACCTGCCATAAAGTAATGTTGGATCCACTTATGTGACATAAATAAATACACGTTCTTGTCTGTGCAGTAAAATAGGCTGTGTGTGTCTTTAGGATGGCTAGAGAGTAAAGTAAATCACATCAGATGTTTTTGTGGTGGAAATCAGACTTAATCAACCTGCCATGGCACTATTTATTTTCTTTTCAGGTATTTAAAACTGGTCAGTTTCCAGTTTGTACACAATCAATGACAAACATCACATGTTTGCACAGGATGGAAATGGCACTCCATATTAAAGAGAGAAGAGTGAAATGTTTGGGAGGCAATGTGGTTCTCAAAGTATAAAGATTTCACTTCAACCTCGCTCTGCAAATCTGATTCTAAAGGTTACACCGAGTGACACCGAGAGGTCACTGTGCGTGTTTCTTCAGCCAGTTCCTCAGATGCTCCACCTGTGCAGCGACGCTACTCTTAGCTGTGCCTCCAGGGGCGCTGTACTGCTCCACACTGCTCCTGTAGTCCCACACTGAGGACACGTCACTTCCAAACAGAGGGCTGAAGGTACAGAGCAGACAAAGAAAAGACAAAGATAAGAAAGAGGAGTTTAAAATTATGGTATGAAAAACATGATAGAAATCAAAAGAAGAGAAAATGATTCATTTGGAAGGTTTTAGGCTTTTAGTTTAAAAGTCTGTGTGTGTGAGAAGAAGACAGCCACCTTATAGCAGTGAGATCTTCCACAGTGAGCTGATTCAGGGCAATGTTTTTGGATTCAGCTGTAAACACAGCTTTGCCAGAGAGACCATGGGCCTCTCTGAATGGTACCTGCAACACAAAATAACACACAGCTACACTGTAACACACAACATGCAGAAATGCAGGAAAGTATTTTGCAGTGAAAAATTAATGTGAATAAACTCATATAAAAAAAAAAGAAAAAGAATGACAAAACAGACCCTTGCTGACAGATTTATGTCTCCTTCCAGGATCAAACAGGGTAGCTTTCACTTGTTAGATAAACCACTACCCAGAGACACTAGTTTACCTAGGACTAGTTACTAGGACTAATAAACTTGTATCCTAATAAAGGCTATGAAGAGTGTTTGAATTCCTGTACAAACTGTAGACATCATTTCTTTGTAATTACTTCCTCGAATATTGTACACAACTAAACTACAAAACTGATACTCAGTAATTTGTTATGTTCTAAAAATATCTGCAAGACAAAATTGTAATTTCAAAAAAAATAATAATATAGATTAATTTCATATCCTGAATAGCTATAACATAATAGTTAACATCTACATAATATAATATTTTAAGGATATATGATCTACTCACCCCCTTCCTCACAAGGTAGTAGGCCAGATCAGTAGCCAGCATGTCAGGACTGAGAGCAGCTTCCATCACAGTCTGATTGATCTAAAAAAATAAGCAAAAATTAAAGGACACCCTGAACCTTTGCAAGATTATTTGTACAGTGAAAAAAGACTGAAGAAAAACTGAAATTCCTCTTCTTGTTTGGAAAACTGTCTCAACTTCCAGCCTTGAGTTTATGGAGCCAGAACTTAAAACCCTACAAAATCTTTCTACGTTAATGTCGTTTGCTAGTCTCCACAGAGAATCAGCTCTGTCAAATCCTCAGCAGTGCTTGTAATAAAATGTTTAATGCTGCAAGATGACTGACAGTGATGCAATTCTCATAATCCACCTCTGCATACAAATACTGCAGCTAAAACTGCCACGATGTCACTGAACTGTGGAAATGATTCAGCTTTAAATGAAGCATCTCATTAACCACACAGGAGTTACTGTTTCCATATTAACTTTTTAACATAGTCTTTATGGAAATCAATTACCATCTACAAACCAAGAAATGTATTCGGTTTATTTTTCAAAGGAAACAGCAGTGAACTGATTGTCTGACCTTCAGAGTTGACATGACTCCAGTGGTCACCTGCAGCACAGCCTGAACATTATCATAGCAGTCAAACATGGCCTCCTTATCCTCCTGAAGGGTGAGCACGGTGATAAAGAGAGCTGGATATTAGGAGAAACTTGACTTCCTTCCAAGTGAAACCACGTGAAGACAGACTTTCATACCTGTAGGTCCTTGTTGTACGTGCTCGGTAGGCTCTTCAGCGTCATCATGAAGCCCGCACACTGAAATACAAAAATCACAGGAAGAGTTTTGTGAGAAAACTGCAGCGAGTAAAGAATGAAAGCAGTAAAGACTATGAGAGCACAGCACGTCTGAATTCTCATGAAAGGTGATACTGTTGTAGCTGCAAGGCAGACAACTACAATAAAACTATTATCACCCTCCACACTGAAGAGCCTCTGCCTCCTGTTCCCAGGTTTCATCATACAGAGCTGTGTTGATGATGAATTATGAAGGATCTATTGTATCACTATAATAAAATATTAAATTATTAGAAAATAGACTATTTATTAACATGTGTTTTTCTCCAGTTTGGCACTGTACTTTCATACTGAAACCAGCCAACTGTGATTCTAGTGACGGAAAACTAGTGACTGCTTTAGGACACACGAGGGCGCTGGTACTGCAGAGGAAAAACAAGCTGTTCTCCAGAGAGGAAAATCTACAGTTAGTTCCACTTTTAAACATATTGACCCTTTTTTAAAAAGTTAAAATATGAAAGCAAAGAATCAACTATTTACAACAGGAAGAAACAGGATTTAGGGTCTACACTTGAACTAATGGAAGTGATCTCACACAGCACATTACAGCTATACCAAGATATTGAAAAGAGTTATTGTAGCATCATTGGTGTTTCTATATTATACTTCTTTTTTTTTTAAGTTATCTGGCAAAATAAAATTGCAAGTGTGAGCTACTGACATGCGTAGAAAGACAGCATTAAAGCCAACCCTTCAGGCTTACCCTGCCAAAGGCACGACCTGCTTTACTCCTGATCAGCTCCAAACTGTCAGCATTTTTTTTCTGGGGCATCAGACTGCTGCCGGTGCTACACACAGACACACAAATATACATGAAGGGCAATGAAAATGCAGCATAAAATAGAGTAGGTCATAGCAGAGAGATCAGTGCTAAATGGACACAACTACAGAGAAAATAATGATTCAAACATAACATTTCACTTTATCAACTTATAACACAGCTTCGTGACTGCAGCCTTTGCACTTTGGTTGCTGTAAATGTTGAATGATGAGATGTAGACTTTTAGGCTCCGTTTTATTATAGATTAAATACCAAGATTATGCTCACAGAAATCCAGTGAACTGTCAAACCTCTACAGCACAGGTGTCGAACTCCAGGCCTCGAGGACCGGTGTCCTGGAGGTTTTATATGTGCCCTTGATCCAACACAGCTGATTCAAATGGCTAAATGACCTCCTCAACATGTCTTGAAGTTCCTTTTCCTTTGCTTGCTGCAGCATTCCGATCTCTGTCTAACTGTGATTGGATGTATAGATTAGCATTATTGCAGTTTCTTTATTTGTTGTTGCTTTAGATTGTTTAATTGAATTATTTGTTTTACACTGATTGATTTAATTTGCCTTGAAACTACCTGTAAAATAGGTAATAAGAAACTTTCATGAAGTAAATAAACTGCTGAACAGCTCTCCTCTTATGTGCCAGTAATTTTTTTCCAATATGTAAATCACAGATCTTTACATACATTGATTTTATATGAAAGCGGTGTTTCATGTAATATTGAAGTTCATGCACAATGTCACAAATCTTGCTAAAGAACTGCAAAATAAAAGCATGAACCGACCTGTAGGCATCAGAGAGCGTGATGAAGGAGAACTCTTTTGTGCTGTACAGTATCAGGTCCTCGGCCATCTTACTGAGATGGGTCAAACACAACGAAGCCCAGAACAAGAACTCAGCTAAATAAACAGACAAGTGAACATGAAAGGACTCAGAGTAGAGTTCATGTTTTTCACTGCTTGGATCCATTTTAGTCTGAAAGCTTCCTGGTGTGTACAGTTTACATACCAACAAAGTCTCTTTGGCCTGTGGCATCCATGCTGTTTAGACTGATGCTATCAAACCCCAGCTCTGCAGATCCAGAGGACAGCAAATGTTGTAATTTCTGCTCATTTTTGAATTCATATTTTATAAAAAACAACAGTTAAATGACAAGAAGACATTGGTAACAAAAAGCCAATTGGCCTGACCTCTCTGCAGGAGCTCTCTGTCGATGTCGAATGGAGTCCCAGCGATGGCGCCACTGAAAACAACAGGATTCATTTTATCATATCTGTGAGACCAAAATGAAAGTCACACACGAGCGCGTTCAGGGCGTACCTGCCAAGAGGTAAAACGTTAACTCTTTTCTTGAGCTCCTGAAGCCGCTCCACATCTCTGCTGAGGGCAACAGCGTGGCTGGAGACAAAGATGCACGAGACTGACGTGAACACGACACTGTCTTATATGAAAGGCGGGAAAATTGCAAATATGTCAGTACAGGAAGATCACCTCAGAATCCAGTGGCTCCATCTGATTGGCTGTGCCCTCTGCATGTGGGTGTAACCAGGAAAAAGGACTTCAATTTCTCTGAGTTTCAGAAAAAGTGATGGAAAATATCATTTTTTTAAAATCTGCAAGGTTACAGCAGAGCACATGTTTACGTATGCCAGCGTGTGTTTGTCTCACGCTGCCGCCCGCTCCACCATGGTAGTTATCAACTGAAGCGCGTTGTCCGTAAGGGTTGAGATTGCGCTTCCCAGCCACAACCTCATGTCAGTCACCACCTGATCAATCAAAACACACAGAGGGTAATATTTTAATCTTTTCTATTCTATAACAGTTAAATCATTACAGTTTTAATATCACAAACACAGACCTGGTCATTCCTGCTCCTGCCTGTGTGCAGCTTCCCTGCAGGTGCACCAATCAGCTCCTGAGAAAACATGTAGCCACACGACTATGACATCTGTCACCACAGCGATCACCAAGCCCTCAACGGAGGAGGAGATCAGTGTTTTATAGCCCAAAACTGAAACAATAAAACACTCAAATTACATTTTATCGTTGGCAGTTTTTTTCTACTATATCCTCCACACATCAGGGTAAGACCAAAGCGATTTTACAGAATCTTACGCTCATCAAATAGAAATCGCAACAGCCATCAGGAGCGATAAATAGTATCTGAACCCAATATATGTGTATACATTTTTTTAATTGTTTTCAGCAGTGATAGCACACGCTACTAAAATCAACAGTAGAGTTTATAAATGTAATTTTCATTGTTTTCTGGAAAATACTGATGTGGAATAAGCTCTATCAAGCTTCTGCTGCACCATGCAGCACTTCTTGGTAGGATCAATTCAACAATTAGAACACTGTGCAAAACATAACCTGTATATTTTTAAAAATACTTTTCTGCTTCCACTATGCTCCATTTCCCTTTCTTCTTTCTCCTCTAATCCCAACCAGTCACCTCATATGGCTGTGCCTCCCTGAGTCTGGTCCTGTTGGAGGTCTCTGCCACTGTCACCAAGCACTACCTCATAAGTCGAACTCTGTTCACTGCACTTTTCTTTTTAATGTTGTAGGGTCTTTGCCTTATGATATAAAGCATATTGAACTGAGTGTTGCCATGAAAACGAAAGGAAAAAGAAATTCTACAAGCCATAACTCACCTTTAGTCTGCGCTCATTGGCGGTATGAATATCTTCATCTCCGGGTTTGATGACAAAAACACCTCTAGACCACTCATCAGAAATCTGCAGAAACAAATAGGGACTGTTTTAAAATATAATCCGTAAATAAAATATATTAATACATAGAAAGTTTTCAGTAACTGTGCATGAGTATAGCAAATGTCAGTCCTGGTTACATAATGACAATCGCACCAATAAAGCAGAACCTCAGGACAGAGAGGGCACCCTAAAAAATGAGCTGCATGAAAGAAGAACTAAGGCTGTTTAGCAGCTGACAGATGTCACGTGATGACACCATTGTGCAGCTCACACTCAGTAGAGGAATCCTGCACCATGGCACATTTTCAGCTGTCATCTATTAACCAGCCAAAGGGAAGGCAGTGATTCACATAACCATGCAAGTGATTTTCTGCTACTGCCAGCCTGTGGTTGCCCTGAACTATCTTTCTTAGTTGCGGTTTATGTTGTGACTTCACCTGAGCCATTCCGTGTAAGATCTGCTCCATTTCGTCCGTGCTGACAAGCTTTGCCCTCTCCAGAGCTTTAACATAAGCCTTGCTCCCACGGATGTCTGCATCCCACATCCTCTGGTCATAAGCGATTGAGGCATTGAACTTCTCCATAATAGGATCGGTGTCTCCAACAAATCGACCTCCCCAGAGTTTACTTCCCTGAGAAGGAAAAGGGTAACATGAAAAAAGTAAAGAAAAATTCAAATAGGTCAAAACATGAACTTTACAAGGTAAAACTCCATGGCTTTGGTTAGTTTATTGTTAGCTAATGTGCCCTCAATGGAGAAGAGACCCCAGTTTGACAGCTTGCTTTTGTTGTTAAGTGTCCAGCTGGGTATTAAAACAACAAACGCGCCAATGGCCGTACGTCGTTTGCACGCTTACCTCTGTACTGGCCATGTTTAACTGACGGCAGGCGTCTGTAGCGATGTAATGTTGGTTTTGTAGTTTAGCTGAATTAACGCTGAAGCACTCAGACGTGCGGCGAGAACGAGGCTGCTGCCACTGAAGCGGTTGGTGTCGCTTTAAAAAACGTCAGAGGAGACGTCCCGGCGTCTTGCTACGTTTAGGGCTCCGTTGCAACGTAACAGGTGTGCAGTCAGCAGAGTTGACGTCGTTCCGTCAGGAAACGTCTTTTTTTATTATTTTTACCATTTACCATTATTATTATTAAAATGTTGTACTCTTGATTTCAAACATGGTATCTTGGAAATTGTCTGTAAGATATATTAATTAAATCCTAAATGTTGATGACATTTTTTTACTTTTTACAACACTTTTGCGAGGGAGTATATCTTATGTTTTTCATGGTTGAACATTTAACTCTTTGGAAAGACCTCCAAAGTTATATATTTTGCTAAACTAAACCAACAATACCACTGAAAAATACTGCAATTTCTAACGTAAAGAAAACTATTTATGCACTTACAATTGTTAGGAAAGGAATACAACAGAGGAAAAGCTGGTTTGGAGACAACCTCTAGATCTGAGTTAGAGGGAGAAGGCTGAGATGGTTTGGATACAAAGGATGTTGAATATGAAGAAGGAGGTAAAGATGTGGGACCACAGAGAAGATTTGTGGATGCAATGAAGGAGGACGTCCAAAAGTTTGGTGTGACAGAAAAGGTAGCTAGAGATGAAATAGGATGTATTTGTGTGAGTGTTCAGTGAGACTAGAAAAGAGCTATACAAGTGCCAGCCCATTCACGATTTGGTGTTTATAATATTGAGCAGATATTGCCACAGGTTTACTCCTGTAGCAGTCCACTGTGTCTGAAGAACAGAGGCAGAAATGTTTGCAGTGATGATGGATTCAGTATCACACAGAACAAAGATGCATGTTGGATTTGTAAGAAAATTAAAACCAAAAACTTTTTAATGAAGACGAATACTTCTTAAGGAGACAAGTACACATATTTTGAACATGTCTACTGGAAACTATTTAAGTTGCACTGACTGCTGATAGCAAACACAACCATATATTTAACATTTATCTGCATTGCTTTTGCGACTTTGTGCAACTTTGATTATTTTGTGTTGTTTTCAGATTTCTGTCTTTTCATCGGTTTCTGTATCACCCAAACACCAGTCTACTATTTTGTGCTGTGTACAATGACAACAAAGGGATTCAAATCATTTGTCGTGTCCTTCTGTTTGTTATGTGTTGGACACTCCAGTACACTAGATGGCAATCTGCATGTTTCCTGCCTGTGGAGTCAACAGGAAACACCCATTACAGGGAAAAGGCAGGAAGTTTCAGCATGACTAGGCGCGTTTGTGAGAGCAGCGAGCAGTTCCGTTTAATCCGTTGGAGTGTACAGTTGTACATTGCTCTTTTTCTCTCTTGAGGTAAGTTAAAGTTTTAAAAGTACTTTAAACTCCCTTTTCTCGACAAAAGATTTGGCTTTATAATAGGTGCTCGTGTCGCCGGGATTAGGTTTTTATAACTTTTGAGCATTTAGTGCCGATATACCGCTGATATTGTTAACGTGGTCGTTTTCCACCTTGAGGAAGCATCAGCAAAAAAACCATTCTTTTGGTGTATTTATCAGTTCATTGGATGACTAATAATTAAAACGTCCATTGATCACTTCTGTTCAGAAAACTGCAGACTGTAAACAGTTAGCTGCAGCCAACTTCCCAAAAAAAGAATACCTATCTTAGCAATACAGTTTTATGAGACTGTACGTTTGACTGGTAAAACTGGTGGGGAGAAGTTGCTTCTTTTCCAGGAACGGAGCTTAGAGGTGACCGATATCAAGCGTCAGTGATCGTGTATACAGCTGTCCCTACACATATACTGATATGTCAGCAGGTTTCTAATCAGTGTCAGTGTCCAAGCATTGCCTACCAGTGGAAAAACTATAGATTCAACTAATCTCAGATAAAAATTCAGCACTTGCCCCTTTCCTGATGGGTGCCCTAAGTGCCATCTTGAGGCTTTTTTTTTTTTTTCTGTTGCATTATGGTTCCAAACACTGTCATCGCTCTTTGAATTACATTATTATCTCATATCACTTGATTAATCAGCTCCCATCTCTCCTCTCATTGTCTACAGTCTCAGATCAACACGGCCCTGCCCTCCAGCACTATCAGCAGCAGCATTGTACCCATCAGGTAAAACGTATGCCATGTATGCATTGTGCCCGCCTGATGACAGTGCTATAGTATGAGTCTTAATGAATGTGGGTTGTTGTTATTCAGCCTCGTTCTATGTGCCCCTTTTTAGCTTTGGGAACCCGCTCCTTCAAACATGTCTGCACACCTCTGATCTTGTTCTATTTAATCTGAGCAAGCCTCTTTTAAAAAACAAAAAAAAAGTCAGTGATCACTGTCGGCCTCTCTCAGTTCCTATTAGCACAATTCATCAGCAGCACATTTTAAAGCTCTGTTTTTAAACCGTAACCACGGCCCAGCCCATGCAACAGTACACTAATGACTAACCTAGTGTTATGGATGGATTATCTCAGTTGCTCTCCTGACTATGGTTTGGTCCGTTTACAGCATCTTTTTCCTGCCATGCGATTGCAGCTCTGTTTCTAGCCACCACGTAGCTACCAGCTTGTCCAACTTCATTAACCCTACAAACGTCACTGGTGTTTAGTTTTGTCTTAATTTATGTCGGAAGTGATAGCAGAGCTGTTCGTTTGATTCATTTTCTTCTGCTTATCCGTGGCTGGGTCGCAGGGGCAGCACCTTAAGCAGAGAAACCCAGACCTCCCTCTCCCCGGCCAGCTCCTCCAGTAATTTGTGCATTTTCACAAACTACTAAACATTACAGCCAGATATTGTACTGCTCTCTTCATCTGTGTCACCTTGAAATCATACAAACACTAATATCTTACTGTTTTTGTGTTGCTGACTTGGTATAGTCCTTAATGTTGTCTTTAAATCTTTTCACAGCAGATCTTGGGTTTTCTTTTTTTCTTGTGCAGATTTGCGATTTCCTGTTTGTTATTGCTGTAATCGCTCTCATTAGGGCTACAGAGATTGACAGACCACGTGACTTTCACGCATTGCTTTGTGGGTACCTGTGGCAACAAAATCAAAACACTGCATCAAGCGCTAGTATTTCCAGCACCGGTAATCATTAATTCTGCGGTTTTAATCCCTACTTGCATTTTATTTGCCCCCAAAACAGTTATGTACAAAACGACGGAGAACACGCCAGGTCCGTGCAAAGACAGACTTGACAAAAAGGCAAAAAAAAAAAAGACGAGGAAAAAAATCAAAGGAGTGGAAGCGTCAGACCCATACGAGAATACAGAGTGGAGTAAGGACGTTAGCGTGCTGCCCAACTTTCATCACGCACATATTTATTATTATATATTATATGGTACTAAGTGTGAGTGCATACACTCACAGAATGTTTAGTAACTTCAGATCCCTGCAACAAGCCCAGGTCCAGTTTACTTTGGTGATTTGGACTATTCCATTTCACAGCTGTTGTTAATTTTTTTTTTTTTTTTTTTTCTCCCCTTTGCGTTGGCCTGTACAGGAGATAATCTATTTGTTGTTTCAGGTTGTAGTATTACACAACATTTTCAGATCTAATAGAAATAAAATGAGTGTTTCGTAATTAATTCAATTTATTGTCTTTATTTATAACTGGCATTATTGTTTCATTCTATTATAGCCTCTTACAAGAAAGAGGCAAAATTGTATTTCATCGTGCTTTATTAGCTGCTTCGGTAAAAAACAAATCAACAATGCAAAAACAAAACAAACAATGCAAAACAACATACTGGAAAACAGTTATTCATCACTTGATTGCTTCAATACAGCCCTTGGGCACATATATGCCTGACTTTTTGTGGCTGTTTTGATCTCGCTCTCTCTCTTAACCGATCAAATCTCACTGTGGTAGCAGCTTTAAACTCTGTATGACCCAGGTTGATAGAGGGTGCCCAGTCTGGATCGCATTCCAGCATTTTGTAGGCTGGTTTTCCTACAAAACACAACAAACATTAGCCTGCAAAGCCACAGTGAACAAAGCAGCATAGCGCAACGAATTCAAATCAATATAAGACTTATTTGTAAACTACATCAACAATTATGTTATGATAAATTATATAATAACTACAACAGAAGACTTACCTTTGTGGAAATGCTTGGAGCAGACTAACCTGTGAGCTGGAGTGTTCTGGAACGTTATATTTGGTCTTCGAATGGCTGCAATCCAGGCCATCCGTCGGCTCTTTGTTACTTCGGAAACACGGCTTGAACAATTTCTCTTCCACGACGTAATCCGATAACATCAAATCTCTTTACCCGTCGGCTTCCCGTGGCTGTCATGCGACCGGCTATTGCAGTTAATAATACAACAGCTTCTTGGCTTTTTTTTTTTTTTTTTTTTTTTTTTTTTTTTTTAAATCACTCTGTGACTGTTTTCATGTGAAAGCCTGCGCACACTAGTACCGCTTGCCACTCGTTCCCAGAATCCTTTGCGGTTTTACCCCTGAATGACGTCACATTTTCAATCTCTACTGTGATCTTTGCCTGAGTGCGTTTTTGGTCTTTTTCTTCTATTGTAGGTACCTACCTTCCTGCCAGACGGAGAAAAGATCTGTAAAACGGGTTCCTCATCTCAGAGCAAGTGTGTTTGGTGTGTGGTTCATTACTCCTGCTCTTTGTTTGAACACTTCGTTTTAACACCTCGCTTTTGGTGTTTCTTTGTGTTTTGGTTGGCAGTCATGCAAGTCTGCATTATTGTTTTTAACTGTAATTAAAGGTCCCCCTTTGTTTTGTGTGGGGTTTTTTTTTTTTTTTTTTTTTTTTTTTTTTTTTTTTTTTTTTTAACAACTCATGTAATCTGTATTTGTTCTATGTATTTGTATATGTCATACTGACATGAATACACACAATAAAATGTGTAAAGTGAGAAATTAATCACTTATCCTTGCCTTTAGATAACCTGTCATACCCGACTGCTGGAACGATGGCGAGCAGAAGTGAAGTGCCAAGAGACACTGAGGTGCTGATTTTCTCCTATAATCAAATTTGTATTTGCCTTGGTTAGTATAAACCATCACAGATGCAAGTAAAAGTGGCAACAGGTGCACTGTTGTGTGATCATGTATAAGTTGTATAGTTTTAATGTTTTATTTGGAAATAGAATGGTATGTATGAGTTTGGTGATTGAGTTATTATTGTGAATGAATTATGAATTTTTTTTATGAATTATGTCTATTTTTTGTTGTTTTATGGACAACAGATGGAAATTAGCCCTTGGCTATAATCTGGAATCTTTGCAGTCATGTAATTTTTTTTTACATGTATGTTCATTAACATGCACTGTCCTAATAAAATATAAATAAATCTCACTGGAGAAGCAACATCAAGACCACTTCCAAAAACTAAACTGTTTTACATGCGGTGGGCACAGATTGTTGCTCATGTGAATTCACCTTTCTGGAAGAACTTGAGTGCATGTGTATCCTGAATGTCACTGCAGGTACCAGCAGTGGCAAAAAGCAGATCTAGATTAAAAATAGTCTGAATGCACATGGAGAGCACTATAATCTGTGGCAGCCATTCAGCATTGGGGTTGTCATGTTGTTACTTCAAGAAATCAATGTACTCTCCTCCTGCATTTAAAGCCTGTTGTCAATGTCTCAATCATTCTTTTTCTTTGTTGGAAATGAATGACACACAATTTTTATCCATTTTAATTAAAATTTGAGTGAATGTCTAATAAGGGCAAGGTCACAAAAGAAGATGGTATCGTTTGAGTATCTGCTTGAAGAGAATAAGGTTGTACTGCAAGTTAAGTGAGACCACTTTCTTTTTTTTTTTCTTCCTAGGACGAAGAGCCTCATCTGACCCATTCTTTTGAGTGGAGTTACAGGAAGAACATCTATACCCATACCTGCAATCAAGCGCAAACTATTGAGGACTGCCTGAAGAAAAGTCCAAAATTCAAAGCAGCTGCAGAAAAGCAGGATGGCAAAGAGCTTGTTATTGTAAGAAGTGGGAAAGCAATCGCTTCACACTTTCCATGCAGAGTAATTAAAAATGAACGTCTGACTCTGAAGTTTGTGAAAGCTGTGGAGAAGCCAAAGAAACCAGTTAGCGTCTCTGGTTATCCCTGCAAAAAGAGACAATCTAACAAGCTTGTGATATTTCATGTCATAGCACGAGGAGGTAAAAATGTTGTCAGAATCCTGAAAAATCCTGACCTAAGAAAAGACATGCAGGAAATTACTGTTTACGCATACGAAGGGGAAAAAGTGAAGCAAGCTCTACGAAGAGATGGTCGTTTTCTCAATACCATGTTCAAAAAGAATTGCGTGCTCTTTAACATAAGCACTGAGGTTGAAACGGAGATGTGCAGTTTTGTCGACGACCTTGATGATGAAACTTTTAAGATCAAATTGCTCGACAAGTCTGATCCACCAGAAAGTCAGCCTGGCAGTCTTGATGACGTTTACGTGCTGCAGAGTGAATCTCAGGCAGTTGATTCTGGTGGGTATGAGGAGCTTTCACAGCAGACTAACACAGTCAAGTCAGAGACCGACAACACAATAGGGAAAAAAACGGATCTCTGTGGAAATATGGCTCCAGGAAACCAACTGTCTGATTCAAAAAAGCTGCAAGTTAATTTGTCTGCATGGTTTAACATTTTGGTAAAAGGCAAGAAAGCTCAAGTTCCTAAGCTTTCTCGCATCCAGAATATTTTCCGTCAGGAGTTTGGGAACAGTGCTAAAAGATGTCAAGATGTGAAAACAATGAGGAAACTCATGAAACTCAGTCACTCTGTTTGTCAAGTAAGAATAAACGGGAAACCACAAGGAAGCGGTTTCCTCGTGTTCAGCAGATTTGTCCTCACAAATGCCCATGTTATTAAAGATTTCTGTAATGATAACGGCCGGCTTCATGAGCGGGTCACTGTCACTTTCTCTTATGAAAGTCTGGAGCAGAATGATGGCCTGATAGATGTGGAAGAGGTTGTTGGTATTGAATATATTCCGGAAGTGTCAGGGACTGACTGGGCTTTGTTAAAGCTCAATGCTGATCAGACATTGCCTGATGGTCTCTTAACACACAGTGGATTCATTTGTCACAGTGGTGGAATTAGCATTATTGGACATCCAGGTGAAAGTGTAAAAAAAATTGATGTCTGTTTGGTTGTTTCACAAGAAAACCGTAGTCAGGTTGCAGAGAGGCACTGGAAAGACAATCAAGACTGTGTTCAACTTCTTAAAGATAGTTTCTTCAAAAACGTTGCAGATGATGTTCAACAGCGCAAACACCTTCTGACTTATGAGTCTTGTTTGTATTTTGGGTCGTCTGGCTCTCCTGTCTTTAATGAGGACGGCGATGTTGTTGCAATGCATTCGGGAGGGTATGCCTACCCTGGTGTGATGGGTCAAAACCAGAGTGTCATAGAGTTTGGGTATCCCTTTTCTGACATCATTGAGCACATCATTATTCAAATGGTGAAGAGAGAAAAGTTTGATGTGTTGAAAGAATACCTCAGTTGCAAATGCACTCGACAGCAAAACTTTTTGGTTGATGTGAAAAAGCTCGTTGAGAGCAGAAATCTCACAAGGTTTAAAAATGTAGTGAACAGTTCAGTGGCTGTAGATGACGAGAGTTTGAAGGCTTTCTTTGAATTCTTCTCTCGGAGAGAGCAGCCAGAGCCCATGGATATTAACCGAGTTCACAGAAGGTTAACTGCAGACAGAAGATAAAGTGAGAACAGTTCGAGCAGTAAAAGCAGTCGTTATTTTTAATAAGTCAGGACACTTGTTTAAAAAAACTAATACTTTTTTTTTCAATTTACTCTTTCACATAAGGTTTTGTTAAACAACTGATGCATCATGTACTATAAATAATATTAATAATAATAATGCATGTATGATGGTTCTGTGCTTTTGAAATGCAAGTAATAACGACTTTCCAATGTTGTCCGGTTAAATTTGAAGAAACTAAGAGAATGTGCTCCGATGTTAAAGAGCTCAAATAATATGGATGTGATAAATGTCATGTTGAGGTTTCTCATTTTGATGTGACATTTACACAGTACAGTCTCAAATAAGTCTGGTTTACATTTATACCCTTTGTACTGTTTTATATCTATATTTTTTCTCTTTTTTGTGCATGCTTTATTTCAAATTTAGAAATTTAGAATCAACTGTGGCTGAATATATATGGAGTGTTGATCAAAGGCTTCAAAATATCATACCTTATCAATATTTTCAATATGACCAGTTTATATCAAATAAATATGGTTTGCTGTTTAGTTGCTTTTTATGCTGTTGTTTTTTAATCATATGAGAGCCTGAATCAGGGTCACTTTCAGATTTATTTTCAGTAAATATCTGCGCTACACACAATGAACAGAATACTGACCCGATCTAAAGATGCAGCTTTATTTTGCTGTACAGGGTTTGATTTATTTATTTATTTATTTTTTAACTAATTGTAGGGTTTCCCTGAATTCTTGGTCGTTCACTGATACTCAGGTTAAAAAAAGTGCAAGACAATTTATCACTCCTATATATTCAAACTTCTGCAAGTCATTAATCCAAGACTATCAGGTCACTCTGAAAGTTATGTGTTCTGGCTGGGAACTATATGTTAGCAAGTGCTGCGAATAAATCTCACACATTGCAGCGATGCTGATAATTTATACTGAAACAACTTATGTAGGGACTCAAATTGTATTTAATCCCAAAATTCTGAATAAATAGAGTTATTTCACAATGACTGCTTTCACAGCTGGACTATTTCAGTAGTTATCACTCAGTCTCTGTTTTCACACTTAATTTTTACACCTTATAAATCGGTATGTCTTTATTTGAATTGTTTATTCAAAATGCATTCATTTTGTCAAGTCTTTGCTTCTGTACTCAGCTCTACATTTCATGGGTGGTTTAGTGATATTTCCTCACAAACCTGTTTTAGCTCATGCTAGAAAACTCCTCCTCTGTCATGGAGAGGAGGAGAATGTGCAACAAAAACAACTACCTGCTGAAATCGTCTCTGACAGACAAATTACTGCAACTCTCAGGAGCACCCTCCTTTCCTCCTTGAAGAGATCGACACAGCTTCATCATGTCGGCCTGTTGTAGACATGTTCTGGGTTTGCTCTTATCCATCATTGGCTTTTTAGGGACGATCCTCATCTGCGTACTGCCGCTGTGGAAAATCTCAGCCTTCGTTGGTTCAAGCATCACCACTTCTCAGATCCACTATGTGGGTCTGTGGGTGACGTGTGCAGGCGAGATGCCGTGCAAATCCTACAATTCTATACAGGACTTACCTAAAGACCTGCAGGGTGCCAGAGTGCTCATCGTTTTTGCTATCATCATCGAGTTCTGTGGGATTCTGCTTAGCGTGGTTGGGAGCAAATGCATCAACTTGGTGCCAAACAAATGGCAAAAGACCAAAGTGGTTATAGCTTCCGGAGTCTTGTTTTTTATTGCAGGTATCTTGGTGGCCCTACCAGTCAGCTCATGTTGGATCAATAGTGTGAATTTCAACAGCCTTTTCCTGGACAACTTTGAAACAGTGGAGCCAGGAGCCGTGCTCTACATCGGCTGGGCCACTGCAGGACTGCTGTGTCTGGGAGGAGGCCTTCTCTGCTGCTCCTTTTCCTCCAGGAATGAGACTGAATATGTGGTTGGATACTCCAGGGCTGAGTCTGTGGAAGCAAGATAAAGGTTTCACTTTCTCTTTGCCATTGAATTAGTGTGTTATTAAGTTAAGTAAAAAATTATGACTGCTTAACTGACTGTAAATTTTTTGGCTTCAAAACAAACTGTAGGAACAAACACCCAGGATTTTGAATGTGTGAATGCATACTAGTAATGCACAAAACAAGTAATTGATTTAAATTTGTTTGAACTTACTTTTCCTTTTATTTGATATTGATCAATGTTTTTTTTTCTGTGTACAATTATATTCCAGTATAATTTAAGACTGGCATTTATGAGTATATAACATCATTATGTTAGCAAGAATAATTACAATAATGTCAAACGATAAAGAAATTCTAACACTAAATCTGGTTTTGGGAGTGTTTGTGAAAGAATCTTTACAGGTTTTGTGGTAGATCCTTGCTGCCAAACAGGCTAAAAATGTATTTTTTTTTTATTTCGATTTTTGCATTAAAGAATGAGAGTGTAAGGAAAAACCCCATATTCCTAACAAATATTTACACAACATTTGTTAAAGAACGTCACATACTAAGTTAAAGTTATTATCAGCTCACAGACTTGTCTCAGTTTTTTCAAGACACCAGTTGTGTTAAGCAGACAAAACAAAGGTGAGTTATTTTGATCAAAGTTATGTCAAAATGCATTTTCATGGATCAACCTTATCATTAAAAATGAACGCGAAGGTTATATTTGATGAAACAAGACAGCGCAAGTAAATATGAGTACATTTATAATATGTGACAGTTTATATTTCAGCTTTACAAAAGAATCCGATTAAAACAGATTGGCAGATTGTTACATGTTAGCCTATTAACATAAATATCGCTCAGATAATACAGGGAGTGCAGAATTATTAGGCAAATGAGTATTTTGTCCACTTCATCCTCTTCATGCATGTTGTCTTACTCCAAGCTGTATAGGCTCGAAAGCCTACTACCAATTAAGCATATTAGGTGATGTGCATCTCTGTAATGAGAAGGGGTGTGGTCTAATGACATCAACACCCTATATCAGGTGTGCATAATTATTAGGCAACGTCCTTTCTTTTGGCAAAATGGGTCAAAAGAAGGACTTGACAGGCTCAGAAAAGTCAAAAATAGTGACATATCTTGCAGAGGGATGCAGCAGTCTCAAACTGAGAAAAGTCAAGCGTGCAGCTGCCAAGATGCCACTTGCCACCAGTTTGGCCATATTTCAGAGCTGCAACATCACTGGAGTGCCCAAAAGCACAAGGTGTGCAATAGTCAGAGACATGGCCAAGGTAAGAAAGGCTGAAAGACGACCACCACTGAACAAGACACACAAGCTGAAACGTCAAGACTGGGCCAAGAAATATCTCAAGACTGGTTTTTCTAAGGTTTTATGGACTGATGAAATGAGAGTGAGTCTTGATGGGCCAGATGGATGGGCCCGTGGCTGGATTGGTAAAGGACAGAGAGCTCCAGTCCGACTCAGATGCCAGCAAGGTGGAGGTGGAGTACTGGTTTGGGCTGGTATCATCAAAGATGAGCTTGTGGGGCCTTTTCGGGTTGAGGATGGAGTCAAGCTCAACTCCCAGTTCCACTGCCAGTTTCTGGAAGACACCTTGTTCAAGCAGTGGTACAGGAAGAAGTCTGCATCCTTCAAGAAAAACATGATTTTCATGCAGGACAATGCTCCATCACACGCGTCCAAGTACTCCACAGCGTGGCTGGCAAGAAAGGGTATAAAAGAAGAAAAACTAATGACATGGCCTCCTTGTTCACCTGATCTGAACCCCATTGAGAACCTGTGGTCCATCATCAAATGTGAGATTTACAAGGAGGGAAAACAGTACACCTCTCTGAACAGTGTCTGGGAGGCTGTGGTTGCTGCTGCACGCAGTGTTGATGGTGAACAGATCAAAACACTGACAGAATCCATGGATGGCAGGCTTTTGAGTGTCCTTGCAAAGAAAGGTGGCTATATTGGTCGCTGATTTGTTTTTGTTTTGTTTTTGAATGTCAGAAATGTATATTTGTGAATGTGGAGATGTTATATTGGTGTCACTGGTAAAAATAAATAATTGAAATGGGTATATATTTGTTTTTTGTTAAGTTGCCTAATAATTATGCACAGTAATAGTCACCTGCACACACAGATATCCCCCTAAAATAGCTAAAACTAAAAACAAACTAAAAACTACTTCCACAAACATTCAGCTTTGATATTAATGAGTTTTTTGGGTTCATTGAGAACATGGTTGTTGTTCAATAATAACATTATTCCTCAAAAATACAACTTGCCTAATAATTCTGCACTCCCTGTATATAACAATGGGGTTTTTTAACAATTTTAACTCGCAACATTTTCAGCTAATTTAGTAGCTTTGTGACTTAGTACAGAGTTGGGTAGTTACTTTTAGTCATCACTGTCATTTTTATACTGTATATATAAATTCACTATTTAACAGAGTCCCTCCTGTTTACATTTAAGGTAAGCTAAGCTAATGTAGCCTACCTTGGAGACCCCTACTGGATGTGTGCCTTGTATGCCTCCACCAGTATTTGAACCCCGATTGTTCATAATTACCATTTTGCATGTCTGCATTTTTCTGATTTTGTGATATCGACCTTTGTATTCACGTGTGAAACTCAACTGTCCGTATCACAGGTGCTTTGAAACAAGCTGGTTGGGTGAGATTTCTTTACAAACCTGTTTCTTCTCATGCTAGAAAACTCCTCCTCTGTCACCTCCTTTAGCACTCTCTAATCAGTAGGAAAGAAAACCAGAGTCGACTTCTCCTCTGTGTGGACAATAAAAACTAATACCTGCTGAAATTTTCTCTTCCAAAACTCTCTTACTAACTTTTCTCTTTGAAGAGATCAACAGAGCTTCATCATGGCAGTTAGCTGCAGACAGATTCTGGGTTTGGTCTCAGCCATCATTGGTGTCCTGGGACAATAGTTATCTGTTTCCTCCCATTGTGGAAAGTCTCAGACTTCATTAGTGCTGACATTGCCACTACTTATGTGATCTTTGAGGGTTTGTGGGTGAACTGCATTCTGCTGACTAAACATGAGATGGCGTGCAAAGAGTATGATTCTACGCTCACCTTACCTCAAGACCTGCAGGATGCCAGAGTGCTCATCGTTTTTGCTATCATCATCCAGTTCTTTGGGATTGTGCTTGGTGTAGTTGGGGCCAAGTGCACCAACTTTATACCAGACGCAAGGCGAAAGACCAAAGCGGATATAGCTTCTGGAGTGTTGTTTCTCATTGCAGCTAGCTTGGTGGCCCTGCCTGTCCACTGGACCACACGCACCATTGTTAATGATATGTTCAACCCTGACCTGCCCAGCGATCAAAGGAGGGATCTGGGAGCTTCACTCTTCATCGGCTTGGTGTCCGCAGGACTGCTATACCTGGGAGGAGCCCTTCTCTGCTGCTCCTATTTCTGCAGGATTGAGACAGAATGTGACGTTAAATCTGCACATACTTACACTAAACAACAACGTTCATCTAGACAGCGCTCTACTAGAAACAAGAAAAAGGTTTCATGATGGTTTCACTCTCTGTTTGACTGAGTCCACTGTTAACATCAGGTAATAAAGTCTGAAATATGAGTAAAAATTTGTAGGAATCTTTGCATTTTGTCTGTATTCAAAACATATGGTAGGAATATGTGCAGCATTCTGAATGCTTGTGAGCACAGAGTCAAAAAAAGTTGTTTTTTTAGTTTCTTTTTTTTTATGTTTACAGGGTAAATAACAGAGCCAGTACAAACACCATACCCTCTGACATGCATGGGTTTTTACAGGATATGGGAACTGAGTTGAGCAAGTTTATGTTCTAATAGATTTTACTGAATTCCTTCCGTCTTATATCCCCTTACTTATTCCTCAGTGATAGATTTTCAGGGCGTAAGTTATAGTTGGACGTTGGGTTTTTTTTTCAGCATTAGCAGTGTTACATGCTCCAGCTTGCTACTTTAGCAGCTAATGCTAACTGGAGCAGAAGGACTAATGCTATGTTCTTCCAGCTTTTTACCCAAATTAGCAGATAATTCTACCCATACTACTAACTATTATACTTTGTGTCACGCTGGAATTTTTGGGACACAGATTCTACATTCAGAGCCAAATCCACAACAAATATATTTTGCAGCACAGATTTTTCTGTTCCTGTTGTCAAGCATACAATGCATGTTGAACTGCTGTTCACTGCCAGAGAGAAGCCACTCCTCTTCCTGGAATGAAGGGAAACTTGCATTTTTTTCAGACAGCTCTGAACAAGGTAGAACAAAGAAAAAGTGATGAGTGCTATTCGTTGCAGATCTAAACACAGGAAACACAGGCTTAAGCTGATCAAAGCTCAGATTTGATCTACTGTAAGGAAATGAAAATGTCTGAATGAGGGTTCAGCTGGACCAGAAGAAGTTGTGCTTTTTAATCTGTCTGGATTTACTCAAGTATCCAACAAGTCTTATCTGTGGGCACAACTACTGAATAAGCTGTATCAAGAACTACTGGGAAGAGGAGGAGATTAAGAAGAGTTTCCAGCTGTTATCAGTGCAGAAAGGGTTTCATACCAAAGCTAGTTCTGCAAACACCTAATTAGCAGAAGAAGACTAGCACTCTAAACTGCTCCTCATCCACAACACTATATTGGACTTAAAGATGTGGCCTGTGGTGTGTGCACTGGGAGAGCCCTGAAAGTCTCCAATTCCTGTCTGCAGTGTGTGGCCTCTTACTGTGAGAGCCACCTCCAGGTTCGGTATGAAATTAGGACTTTTCAGAACCAGCGATCAGCAGTATATCAGTTAACCTCTGTGGTATGGAGGAACACAGAGGCCACGATACAGTGTCAGCTGTAGCAGAAAGGACTGAGAGGCAGAGAGAGCTCAGGCCAACATGACTCAACATCCAACAGTGAAACCAGGACACACAGCAAGATATAGAAATGCTTCAGCAGCACGGGAAGGCCATCAGTGTCTATATTGATAAAGCAGTGAGGGAAGCCTAGACAATCTTCAGCCGGCTGGTCCAACTCGTGTAGAAGAAAAACTTCAGAAGAAGCCACAGCAGGATATTACTGAGTTTAACTTACAATTTTATCGTAAACATTTTTTAGTTGAATAAATAAAATACTCCAGGAATACACTTTGTTAGTCAAACCCAGAGTATAATTAACTTTGGTTATCCTTTTCCAAATACCACTGAAGGCAACATTATCCAGATAGTGAAGAGTTCAGAGTTTGTTGCTGAAGAAATACCTTGTTTGCAATTGCATTTGACAGCAAGACATTTTGGTCAGTGTGTGAAGAAACTTGTTGAGAGGAGAAATCTCAACATTTAAT